CCTAAACCCTAAACCCTAAACCCTAAACCCTAAAAACCCTAAACCCTAAACCCTAAACCCTAAACCCTAAACCCTAAACCCTAAAACCCTAAACCCTAAACCCTAAACCCTAAACCATAAACCCTGAGCGCTGAACCCTGAACCCTGAACCCTGAAACCTAAACCCTAAACCCTAAACCCTAAACCCTAAACCCTAAAACCCTAAACCCTAAACCCTAAACCCTAAACCCTAACTCTCAACAATAAACTTTAAACCCAAAACTCTAATCTATATATTTTTTTAAATCTCATATAGTTAAATCTTATCATTGTTTTATTACAAATGTGTCCTTCGTCAATTATTTTAAATATTAATAATTTATATTATTTAGTTATATTTATTTTTTCGTTTGAAATATGATGTCATGGCGAGGAGGGCCTCCATTTGGCGGGGGTGGGGCCCAATGGAGTGTGTATCCTTTGAACCAAATTTTAATATGGACTGCATAAAATCCCGCCCCTTACCCACCGCACAATGCACACCGGGTCACCCATGCCCTAAACCCAGCGACTCTTTCTCCCGTGCGACGACTGCGGCGTTTCCTCGGCGAGCTGCTGTCTTCCTCTCCATCGGCGAACAGCGGAAGCAACGGCGGTATCTTCCTCCGGGGTGTTCTTGTTGCTGCTGCGTTTTCCTCTGTGAACGGCGGCTGCTGCGTCTTCCTCTCCATAGGCGAAACGGCGTCTCCGCCCCCCGGTATCTCTCTCTTTCCTTCCTCTTCCTCCTTCGCCGTTGCAGCCCCCCCTTCCCCGAGCCATCTTCCCTCCCCCACCCTCTTCCACCGTCGCAGCTACCCTCCTTCCCCGACACCATCCTCCCCCTCCCTTCTCCCTCATTACCCTTTAACTTTTTCTCGCTGCTCCTCCCTTCCCCGACACCATCCTCCCCTTCCCTTCTCCTCCCTCCTTCTTCCCCCTTCGTCGTGGTTCCTCCCCGTTCCCCGACACCATCCTCCCCTCCCGTACCCATCCGGGACCACTGCTCCTCCTCCCTCTTCCATCCCTCTTCCTCCCCCCTTAGCCGAGAGAGATGGTTACTGATGATGAAAATCTCGATATTCTAGGTTATGGTATGCGATCTTGGCAATTGTTGTTTTTAATCTTGATAGAGTAGGTTATTTTTTATGTTCTCTGATTCCAGGTAGAATGTTAGTTATTGGGTTTGCTGTTCATCTTCTTGATTTGGACTTCTGACATGTTTGTATTTTTTATAAAATGTCTGATTTCTTTTTCTTTTTATTGGTCGTGTTTTATGGAGGAAAGGAAAGTTATATAGTGTAGTAGGGCTAGTAGATAATCTTCTCTTTTGGTGAATAAATAATTTAGTGCAGTATTACTTATTGATAATTTGGTGAATAAATAATATGTTGGAAGTCCCTGTGGTAGCTCATAGTTCTTTTTAAACGAACTAAAACCCTAAACCTCTCGCTGCGGCGTTTTCCTCGGTGAACGGCGGCTGCCGCGTCTTCCTCTCCATCGGCGAAACAGCGTCTCCGCCCCCCCGGTATCTCTCTCTTTCTCTTCCTCTTCCTCCTTTGCCGTTGCAGCCCCCCCTTCCCCGATCCATCCTCTCTCTCCCTCCCTCTTCCACTGTCGCTGCTCCCCTCCTTCCGCGACACCTTCCTCCCCCTCCCTTCTCCTCCCTCTATACCCTTTACCCCTCTCTCGCTTCTCCTCCCTTCCCCAACACCATCCTCCCATTCCCTTCTCCTCCCTCCTTCTTCCCCCTTCGTCGGGGTTCCTCCCCCTTCTCCGACACCATCTTCCCCTCCGGGACCACAGCTCCTCCTCCCTCTTCCATCCCTTCCTGGCAGCGGCGTCCCACCGCCCCCCCCCCCCCCCCCCCACCCCACAGGGGGGGGGGCGTCCCCTTCCTCCTCAGTTTAGGGGTTTAGGGTTTAGGGTTTTAGGGTTTTAGGGTTTTAGGGTTTAGGGTTTAAAATCTCGATATTATAGGTTATTGTATGCGATCTTGGCAATTGGTGTTTTTAATCATGAGAGTAGGTTATTTTTTATATTCTCTGATTCCAGGTGGAATGTTAGTTATTGGGTTTGCTGATCATCTTTTTGACACCATCAATTTTTACTTCTCACATGTTTATATTTTTTTATAAAATATGTCTGATTTCTTTTTCTTTTTATTGCTCGTGTTTTCTGGAGGAAAGGAAAGTTATATAGTGTAGTAGGGCTATTGGATAATCTTCTCTTTTGGTGAAAAATAATTTAGTGTAGTATTGCTTATTGATAATTTGGTGAATAAATAATAAGTTGGAAGTCCCTGTGGTACCTCATAGTTCTTTTTAACAGAACTAAAACCATAGGAAGTTTGTATATTAAAGGAATTATCTGATTTTAACTGAGATTTATGTTTCTTTTTCTGAATACTTAAATTGCCCGTCTTTTACTCATTGGTGCATCTGACATCTTTGACCCATGTTTTATTTGAGATATTGGTGGTGCAACATAGAAAGGTCATACTGTTTATCATCTAGCTTTCAGTTCAAATGAGAACGTACAGTGTGTAACATGCATCTCTTGTTATAACATTGTTGAAGTGACTGCATGCACCGAAATAGAGGCTATCAAGCATCTTTATGTTCAATAGTAGGGTATATCTCAAACATTAAAATGTCATTGTGTCATTCACTCCTCTAGAAAAGGTACGGATGATGATCTCAATTTTAAAGCCTTTGGCTCTCATCAGTGAATGCTAAAGGCTTGTGAAGATTGCCCTTGTATTGAGGGCAATCTTCACCTTGTATTAAGATTAATCTCAATTTTATAGTCATTTGTATTAAGGGATTGCCCATTTATGATTTTTTTACCATACAAGTCCTTGGTTAGGTTAGTACATACTAGTTGCATGAAATGGCATGAGCTGCATGTTGCCTTGTGCAATGTAGACTGATTGGTAAGGATGCACAAGCGGACCTTCAATGACTTATACATCCCAGGTATAAGGCGAGGATCATTGAATTTTTCTCAAAGGTTAATTTGTTTTATGAAACCAGTACGACATTCTTTTACTTTTGTTGAAGTTGGCATTTCTTTATTTCTTCATTAGTTTAAATATTTGGTAATTTTTTTATGTTTGTTATCTTTCCAGAGTGGGATTACCAAGCAGTAGGGAGTTATTTGATGCTAAATTGGAGAATAAAACTTACAGGATTATTACTCGAGTTTAGGAAAGATTCCCAAAAAACATTGCTACCAGTTGTCCAAAAGCCTGATGGGAAGAAAAATTTGATGGTTTGTGATCAGATTTCTGTAAACAATTTCTGCTGCTAAATAGATCTCTAGGTCTTTGTTTATCTGTTATATCTCCTCTGACTACTCTATGTTATATTTGATATTACTGATTCTGAGGTATCAAATTTAGTTTAATATTTAAATTTTTAAGAAGAATGGAGTGATTTGCTTAATAAAGCTCCAACAAGTCACATATGTAGTACCTGGTACTGAAGACTTTGACCACACTGATATCTCTGAATTTGTTCAGAAAGCTCCGGGTCTCTTAGTAAGTTTCAGAAAATTAGAACTTGGAGACAGTGACAGTGACAGCTGAGGAATTAGCTGTGGTACCAATTTTGCAGAATCAACTTTCCATGCTTGAACACAGCTAATCTTTCATTTTCTTCAGATTATATATGACAGCAAGGAATCTCTTGAAAGCTACTGTTCCCATCTCTTGTTGTCTAGACATGACATATATTTTAATGTGGTTGATGGCAAGGGATATTCTTCTCTATACGGTCTTCGATGACGATGGCTTGATTTAGCTTGCTTCCATCCTTATTGTCATCGTTCCGTCGTAAGTTCTTGATCCTTGGTCCAAAGATGGTTTGGTACAGGGATTCTTTGGGAAAGATTCTTTTGGTCTATTTCGTGATCGCCCCTTCCTCGACGATGGTGGAAAACTTGCCGTAGACACCATCATCAGCATAGATTCCTTGGTAGAGGCTAAAAATGAAGGTGCCGATTGACAAGGAGGGTTTTCTATAGTTGCATCGATGGTGATCTCATGTTTTTGCTTGTTTCCTATCCTATGGTGGCCATTCTATTGCAAATTCTTGATCCTTGGTGCAGAGAAGTGTCAGTTCAAGGATTCTTTTGAATAGATTCTTTTGGTCACAGATTTTCATAGCAAGCTCTGCTGCTGCCTAGCTTGCAATGAAGATGGCAATTGAGAAGGAGGTTTTTTTTCTCTCATTAGGCCGGTGATGCTTTGTCTTTCTTCCAGCCCTTTCATTGCTGTCAATTGCATAATTGCGTTGATAAAGGAACCTGAGGTGTAGTAGATTATTTGGTCATAGTGTGTTGCTATGATCCTGCTGTTTGTGCTTCTTATGGAATGAAGAAGAGATAATTGGATTGGTTGCCGATAAGTGGCTGAGAAAGTTTATTCATTAGTGTTTGATAAATCTAGCTAATCTGTTTGTAATATTATGATCAGCTTAGTGAGTGTGGGAAGTTCTTTATGGCAAGCCAAGGCAGGCACTGACCACAGCCAGTAAATGAATGTGATATTTATTCAGGTAAGCATTGTTTTGATTGAAGCTTATTGGACTTTCGTAGATCTAATGCTTGAGTGAATATTCTTGTGCAATTTAGTTTTGTCTCCTTTCATTTTTTTTTATGGCAAGTAATAGAAGCTATATAATTGATTTGCATTTTCTTTCCATAATGCATTTTCATTACTAATTCTGTTACATCTGTCATGTATACATGTCAATATGTCATCTTATATAAGACTTTTGGATGGCTCGACGAATATGCATTCATGAATCTAACATTTATATTTTCCCCTAAACCCTAAAATTATCAAATTCTGAATTACCCCGTTTTTCCCTCTCAGTTTTCAATCTTTCTTGAACTTTTTGCTATTTCCCTTTTTCATTGTAAGTTTAATAATTAAGCTAGCATTTATTTTGTTAAATTTTATTTTTGTGCCAAAAAAAGTGGGAATCCATCTTGTAATGTTGAAATTTTTTATTTTTCGAATTAATATTTTATGTTATTAATATTTAAATAATTTTGTATATAATTTT